CTTAAATGGGTAGGTGGATTCGCTGGCAATAGTACCTACCCCCACAAAAAAGAGTAGGTTTCCTTAGGTCATTCGTTGATTCGGTGTCCCACATGACTGAAAAAGAAGTACTTTGTGTATTTCAATACCATTACCGAGTGACATGGCTGAATTATCAGGGTTACATAATTATAGGGTGAAATATATAAGGAACAATTTTCCCTAAGGAACACAAGTAGAAATATGAAAAAAAAAAAATGTATCTCCCATACTAACTGAAATCAGCTGATCGGCAATTTTGTATGGGAGGTTGGGAGGTCCATTTTTTTTCTCATAATATCTACCTGTGTTCCTTGGGGAAAGTTGTTCCTTATCACCAGCCGGTCCTGAGTTTTCGCTGTCGGTATAAAATATGTACCCTACCTACCTATATGTAAATAACATAAAGCTGTGTACACACTAAACGCATTGTTGAGAACTCGGAACGCGCATCGCACGCTCGATCGCGCGCACTGATGCGACTAAAATTTAGTATCGCGCGCACCAGCCCATTGTATGCTATTGAACTCGATTCCACGCTACCACCTAAAATCGAATATTTAAAAAAACTTTTTCTTAGATTAAGGATTAGTAGTGAATAAAATCAGTAACGTTTTATGACTACATCGTCGATTTTAGGTATGTGGCGATTTAAGTGGCAAGTAATTAGAAACGTGGCTGTTAAAACATTATAGAACACAGAAAATTCACTCATGTCTATCAGCTCTTAGTTTCCGAACAAAATGTAACGGTAAGAGAGTGTCATTTCACATCACATCACAAAAACGTGTTCCTGTCCACTTCTGGACGCAGGACTCCCCCGACGGTTCGCCTCCTCCTCCTTCGAGTGGGACACCAAGTCGTTCAACGACCATCTTGCTTTTCGGACAATCAGGTGGTTCAGCCTGCAATTTCCTAACTAGACTGGGATTCACAAAGTAATAAATAACAACTTTGTGAGTGACCCCAGTAGGAATTGAACCCGGAACCTTTTGCGTGGCAGGCAGTCGTACTAATCACTGCGCCACATTGGCTGTCTACGGTTCACCAAAAGGCACGAACTTCTGAAAATACCATCGTGCCGCTAAGTACCCGCCACTATCTTTAGAGCCATCGGTATTTTAAGTTAATTTAGCTATGTCAGTAACGTAGAATCGAGTCCATTGTTCTTGCCTGCATGCATAATGCTGAGATGCGTATTTTTTGAGAATTAGTAATGCTCCAACGGTTTCCTTATAAAAGGTTGTAAATCTAACGGCCGTGGGCTGCTAGATCAAGGTAATGATTGTTTAGTTCTTCCTATTGAGTTTAGTAGATTTTACAGAAACTCATAGGTAGGTACAAACACAGCCATAATATTCCACCGATGAACTTCATCACCTTCTTGCCCTTATCCCAATTACTTGGGGTGGGCGCAACACGTTTCGCTGAACACAAAATCGTGTTGCAGAAGAATTTAGCTGAATTTGGCGACCGGCCGCCTACCAGACGTCAACCCTCCTTGGGAATGCTCTTGTGGTAGATTAGCCGCCACCATACGGATGGTCCTGGATATTTGGGTCGGGTTTAGAGTTTTTAGGGAAGAGAGGGCATGGTGCTATTCTACTCTGCCGGTACCACACGGCATTCCACCGAAGAACTTGTGCCTCCCTTATCGGGAGTTGGGAGGTATTGCATTCTTACCACGCCACGTCAGGCGTATCATGGCAGACGCAGTGCAAAATGTTGCGTTTTACAGGGATTGCAGCTGCCTAATTCCTTGGGCGAATTAGAATATCTCTTACAGTTCGGCCGCTCGAATGTGAGAGCTTTCAAGTCCACCAAGAAAACTAGACCTTATTGTTACCATGGTTTGACAGCTGTCAAATATGGCTTATTCAAGCATCCGTACTGTATATGGTTTCCTAATAAAATTGTAAATTTAACGGCTAGATCAAGGTAATGATTGTTAGCTCTTCCTATTGAGTTTAGTAGAGTTTACGAAAACTTATACCTAGGGTCATTGGATGCTGCTCGAATCAGCCATATTTGACAACTGTCAAAACAATATCAGAAGACATATCAACAAAGAAAATCAGATCCATTAACATGGTTTGACAGTTGTCAAATATGGCTTAGGGTAAAGTACGGATAGATGCGCACCTTTTGGAAAATGCTCTGTAACTTAATAATTAAGAACTTATTTACAAAATTATCTTTACAGATTAAAGGATTGGTCTTTAATCTTTCATTAAAGCCCTAATTCCTGAATTTAATTTTTATTGTTTTGTTGTAAATCCAGTTTTATTTGACCTCTTGAAAAAGGGATAGTCGCGCACCCGCACGGATAGTTGCGCAGCACTAAAAAATTATGGGGGGATACTTGCGCTTTGAAGATTACCTAGGTGACTTACTATGAAATTTGTACTTTATTTAAATCAAACCAATTTGAAATTCATTTGATTAAATACTTATTTTAAAAATCGAATAGGCCTCCGAACCTTAATGTTATTACTATTTCTAAAGTTATTGAGTGCTAAGTCATTATTTCAGTAAAAAAATTGTATCAACGCGTAGGTAGCATAAAAATGTATGTTGAACAACGTCCATATCTAGACTGTAATTTAGAAGCATTTTATCCATCTGCAACATACTAAAATAAACAAAAATATCAATCTGCGCAACTATCCCCCAAAGCGCAACTATCCGTCCAAAAAACCTGCGCAAATATCCTTTTTGATACGGATAGTTGCGCATTTAATTAAAAAAATAATGATTTGATATTTTGGAATAATTAATAAATGGGCACATACTTTATAAAGTAGTGCATATGAGCAAATAAAAATGTGAGCGATTCTACAATCTTGAGAAAAGATACCCGAAAAACAAAATGTGCTAAAATAATTTCAACGCCCGGTTTGACCACGCTACCGAAGATTTTTGCTTAAACTGGCGTAAATTGTGCAATTACTCCAATAATTAACGTGGTACTTGGGCTTTCAGGAGGAAGACTACTATGTTTTAATGAGCAATAGTGCTGAAATTCACTAGAACATAGTGTTTTCGAAACCTGCGCAACTATCCCAACGGCGCATCTATGTATCTATCGTCAGCAAATCCACCTACTCATTTAAAGGATTAACATTATACTGTTCTTTTTTAGTATTTTTACGAATAACCAGTATAACTGGAATGGCTTTGCGCGAAAGAGATCTAGGTACACTATTTTGAGACGCTTGATGCACACTCATAGGGTCGTTGGACGCTGCTCGAATAGGGTAAAGTACGGATAGAAAAAAAAACAGTATAATGTTAATCCTTTAAATGAGTAGGTGGATTTGCTGACGATAGATACAAGTACAGTAGGTATCTAAAGTTAAACAGTAATTTTTAATAGCAAATGGTAAAAAAACTTAGCAAACTTTTTATACATCCAAACATTACTTGAAAATGTAAATGCATAGATTATCGTTTTTTTATATTTATGTGCAAAGAAAAAATATACGACTACAAAAAATAATATAACACTTTTATTGGTATTGCTATTGACTTTAAAGTTATCTAAATAATTTGCATGTTAAAGGTTGAGGAACAAAAAAATGTATAAAATTGATATAAAAATAAACGTCATAAATTTTCAGAATAACCGTTACAGGATCGCAAATCTTCCAAAATCTGCTATAAATCCTTAATAAGCCCTTAAGGGCAAAGAAATAGGTAATGAAGTAGAATTAAAAAGGTTAAGGGCCACCGAGCCGGCTTGATTAACTCCGTTTGGGAAGAGTCTCGTAAAAAATACTAGGTACTTACGAAAGACAAGTATACACCACGAAATGAAAAGGGAGTTTAGATGAGACCCAAAATTCGTTTAACAATTTTACTTGACAAAAAAAAAGTATAGTTTGAAAATACAAGCAGTACGCTTATCTGCTGCGTAAAATTCAGTCTTAATAAATTGTTGATTGAATGTACAAAAGATATACCTAAATAGTCAAAATATATAAATATGACAAGTTACACGAAAAATGGTGGCATTTGTGACTGAATATTTATATGAACAACGCTAAACTAATTATGCAAATTAAATATAAATTTTCTTAATAAAACGATGAACAATACGAATAAACAGAAATGGCAGTAGGTACTTGTGAAAGCTTTCATTTATTCTTACGTTGAGGATAAAATTATATCAGACATAATCTTTTTATTATATTTTAGTTGCGTGGTTTTGGAGGAGCACGACAGACAGACAGACAGAGAAGCGCAAAAAGCAACTTAATTTTATACTATGTACCTATAGATACCTATGTAGGTGAATTTTTCTTCCGGCATGCGTCCCTAACATAATATTCGTGCCGGTGTCAAAACAATTCCCCGGCTTGGTTTTACGACCTTTTTTAAATGAGGAACGAAGTTCGTCGTATGAAAAAAGTAGCTCATTTTTTACATTTTTGAGCAAATTCTCCATGAGTCATGATATCACCAGTTCGTGGTCTAAATTAGAGCACCAAGGGTTTTATGCTTTATTGCGTAGACTTTTAGTTAAGGAGAAGAACTATTTCCTGCCTGACATCATTAAAAGGTGTTTTAAACATACATACATACATCAGGCCGATATCCTTTGCGGGGTAGGTAGAACAAACGACTGTTTATACGGCAATTAACACCACGTCTGACAGAAAGTTTGATAGACATTCAGAAGACTGTCTGTCTAGACCGAAAGGTGGCCTATCTATCACCGTAGTGACAGATTGGTTGTCCTCTAAAATTGCAGTATACAGATCAACCACGGGAAAAATATGGGGTGATGCTATTCTAAGCCCATACGACACAAAAAACAAACACATACAAATAAGGTTTTTGATAAGCGCTATTGTATTATATGGTGTTTTTCTGGTGGCTATATGTATTTTTCTTGTTACTGAATTAAAAAGTACATTATGAATTGCTATATTCAATGAAAACTCTGCCCATATTTTTTTGAAAACCTGCAATTTTTTTTCCACCGCAGGCAGGATTTGAACCTGCGACCTTCGGCAACTGTGCTGCCGACGCCACTTACCAACTGGACAACCGCGGTTCTAATCCAGCCTGCGAATTAATCAAGTATACCTTGTATACTTACGCGAGGATGGGCTCCATCTACCGGGATAGTTTTTTTGCTACTAATTCCCAGCGACTAATTCATTCTTTGCAGATTGGATGTAGTCAAAGTGATAAAAACCCGCGATAAATTGAATACCAAATTTTAAAACACTTCTCTTCATGGGTAAAGACAATATTCGGTCGCAGAAAAACAGAGTCTGCCCCGCCCTTAACACATTTAAAGCTATGTACAACATTTTCGTCACAGAACATCTAATTTTGGAATGAGTTTGCAAGTAAACCGTCTTCATTTGTCATTCTTATTATGATGTAACAGAGTTCATAGTGTCTTGTGTCGTAAAGTTTAGGGCTCATATTAAATCTTGCGGAATAAGAGCTTTAAATGATGGAAATCTTTTCTATGACGTTCCTGGGTTGAAATTTTTCTTTTTTAATTTATTTTTTGTTAATGTGATTCATAAGTACAATTAGAAATTTTCATGCGGAAAATAATTTAAAAGTGCTGTCTGCCAAAGAATTACATCGGAATACATTGGTAGATATTGACGTGATTTTTTAAAAATAAGTTCTAGCTACTCATGTAATAGCTGTTTCTAGAAATTTCATCATCTCCTACTTTTTTAGAATGAGACACCGAGTCGTCAAACGACCCGATGAACCCTGGTGTCATTTCATGCTTTATGCTTTATACTGATCTCTCGAATTTGTACCAAATATTCCAAAATTTTCGCTCTACGCTACACAGTCTGCAGTAACATTTTCTAGATTATAATCTACGGAACCCTTTTAGCAACGAAATATTGCCTCGATAGCCGGTCGCCGAATGCGTTCCACTATCATCGATGCTCAGAGCAGATATTTTTTGCAGAGGGAACCAAATTATAAAAGTGAAGCCGTGGGTAACACGTCTCAATTAATAAAGATGCGCTCGGACTGTTCCCACTAAAAAAAGAACTTATTTAGTTGTACGAATTGTACATATTTTTTTGAATTTTAATAATTTTACATACGTTATATCAATTATCACGCCTATATCACTTTAAGGGTGGGCAGAGGGTATACAGTTATAAAAAACAGCCATTTAAACCATGTCTGACAAAAGATTGAGAATAATTCAGAAGTGTATTACCACAGTGACAGGTTGTCAGCCTGTCACCTAACATTGCAATGCACATTAACTCTCAAATCCCTTAGTCGCTTCTTAGGACACCCACGGGTGATGCTATTCTACCCTGCTATTCTATTCTGCCGGCACCACACGGTTTGATATCCGAATCTTCAACAAATAATTAAGTTTTCCTTTCTTTACACAGTTTTTAGTATTACCAAACTTAATTTTGAATTAACCTCAAAATTTGAAAGTTTTGTACTGATTTTTTGTGCCAATAATGAGTTCAAGGTTCACTCTGGTAACTTATTTTCTCTAAGCGTCGATACAAGAATTTGTATACAATTTCTCTGAGCGTCGGACCGCAATATTTCCCGCGTATTTTTATCCGGCATCTTTCCGGAAGACCGTACTCGGTTCCGGCATTTAACCGGAACAGCGTCTCAATGTAAGGCGAGAACATACGTATCGTCTGTTTGTGCGTTATTTTTGCGCATGAAAGGCATGCGCTAGGCTATACGGAAATCTTCTTTATTCCCATACAAATATGGTTAAATTTAAACGTTTTGACGTCCGTCGTTGTGCGATGCGCTTTACTAGCGGATGTGTCCGTAAAACCGCTTATACGGGGTTTCCCGGTTATCGTGGTCCAAAGAAAAAACTAGACTTTGGACACCCTAAGATACCATAACAGCAAGAAAAATAGTTCAATATTTGAACAAAAAATGGACCTCCCATACAAAATGCTTTATCAAGCAGCAAAATTAGTATGGGAGGTCCAATTTTTTTTCTTTAAATATTAAGCAAGTTTTTTTGTTATTACAGTAATAAGTTTAGGATGTCTAGAGTCTAGATTTTTTCTTTGGACCACTATAACCGGGACACCCTGTATGAACCGTTTGTGTGACAATAAAGTAGAAAATTATATTTTTCTAATGCATGCGAATCCGCAACCGTTTTCCGAAGACGGTTTAGCCTATGGACTGTTCGCCGACAAGACGATTCAATTACGTCCGGTTTGCCTACAGAACCCTTCTCCTATGGATGTTTCGCCGACAGAACTTTTCATTTTCGTCCCTTTTGACGATAGGCCTCTTTTCCGACGACGGTTTTACCTATAGACTGTTCTCCGACAAGACGATTTAGTTACGTCCGATTTGCATACAGAACCTCTATGGATGTTTTGAAGACAAAACTTTTCATTTTCATGACTTTTGATAGGTCTCACCAACTATGGAATGTTTCGCCAACAGGAGGATTCAGCATAGAACTTTTTGACTACAGGGCCAATATACAGTAGGTACGCAAACGCGTTCATGACCATCCTGAAATATGCGCATCTTTCTCGCACACGCTAGTATCACTGCAAGTATGACAAGGAGGCGGATATTTCAGGATGGCCGGATGGCAGCGGATGTGTCCGAAGTCTGACCTGTCTGCGCGCGAACATCCTGGTCGAGAGTTTGGAGACGAACTCAACCAAGATCTCGACTTGTCTCTCCGAATGACCTCGAATGACGAAACTCGGCGCGTCGGCTATGATACGCAATACCTTGGACTGCTGGGCCCGCAGTCTTTGGCGATTGGTCTCAGAGACCAACGCGTACCATGCCGGAGCGGCGTACGTCAGGCGACTCCTGGTGTACTCTTTGTACACGCCGAGCCTCATGCGCAACGGGAGCCTCGTGTGAAGGATGGGTCGGAGCAAAGCAGTGGCAGCCCCTATTTGCCCGATCACTTTCTGCTTGGCCATGGACAGGTTACGGTCTATGGTCACACCCAGGTATTTAGCCTTTGTGGACCACCCGATCTCCTCTCCATGGAGCCTCAATTTCGGGGGATCTCTTCGACCACGCCCCACGATAATCGCTTGGGTCTTACCAACGTTGACAATGAAAGTCATGAAAATGAAAAATTTTGTCGGCAAAACATCCATATAGAGATTCTGTATGCAAACCAGATGTAACTAAATCGTCTTGTCGGAGAACAGTCTATAGGTAAAACCGTCGTTGGAAAAGAATCCCATCGTCAAAAGGGACGAAAATGAAAAGTTCTGTCGGCAAAACATCCATAGGAGAAGGGTTCTGTAGGCAAACCGGACGTAATTGAATCGTCTTGTCGGCGAACAGTCCATAGGCTAAACCGTCTTCGGAAAACGGTTGCGAGTGCTTCTCGCTTTACAGTACGTCCAGCTTGCGTTATTAGAATGTTTACTTCGAAAGCTTTATTTCCTAGCATAGTGTGAAATCCGTGATTCTTTTGAATCGGTTCTCTCGATTTGTAAGATTTCGTTTAGATACCGACCTACTAGGAACTAAAGATTTTCGTGTCTTAATAAGAATAGCTGTTTTTACACCTAAACCGGTAAAATATGAGGAACATGCCTCTTATCAAAACGGTACGTAGTTAATTAACAGAAAAAACATAAAAGGTGAAATTTTACTAGTGACCGATAGCTAAAAATCAGAACCGGCTGGTGATAAGGAACAACTTTCCCTTAGGAACATAAGTCGAAATTCGAAAACAAGTTTAGGCGTCCCATAGTAACTCATATCAGATGATCGCCAATTTTGTATGGGTTCTGAGTTTTCGCTATCAGTCAGTAGAAAATTTTTACCCTGTTGTGCCGAACAGTTCTTAATTCTTAAAATGATTTAAAATTACGTTTTCTCTCATTTGTAAGTAGGTTTAAAGGTTAAAAGGGCACCTTGTCTTGGCAAGTAAATTAGAAAGACGATTACCAACTTTCTGCGTAAACTATAAACATGGATGTTTAAATTAGTACTAGCTACTACTAATAATCCCGTTTCAAGAACTTTATTAAATAGGTACGTATAGCAAAATTTTTACTTTCGAGAAATTTTATGAATAGCTAATTTTTTAAGCCTCATTTCGCGTCTTGAGTTGACCTACCTACTTAAATGAGGTCACTTTTAACCTCCTTCGGCCAAATGTTAGATACTTGTTAATTTAGAAGTGCCCTTTTAATATCTAAGATAACACGCTATTATTTCCCTCCGATGTCCATGTTGACTAGAGTACTATCTAAATATGCTCAATATAGACCAGAAATCAGAAATAATATATCTAGGTATATTGCAAAATGGTATCTACTTACAAGTGAAAATAAGAAATAGAAAAAATGTCATACATCGACCGGGAATCGAACCCGGGCCGCATGGGTAAACGCCCCACCGCTCTGCCACTGAGCTATCGATGCACCGGTTGATGAATGCCAAATTTTCTATCTCTTGATGCTCGTCTCCAAGCGACGATACAGCGACATCTGCAGGAAGTATTTAGAACTATCTACATGGTTAGTCCACATTATGAGTGAAATTCAAAGGCAAATATTTAACACGGCAACTGAAATACTTATAAGTCAACTTTCTATTAAGTCACAAAAAATCTAAATTGGCAGTGATTAAATATCTTAGCAACTATTAAACTATACAAGCAACAAAATACTAGGATCAAAAAAACTAAAAAACTGCTGCTACTGTAAGGTATCAAATATATCAAGCAGGGTCAGCGTAAAACTGGTTAGGGTACTAAAAAACCTAATGTGGCGACTAATTTTTCCAAAGGGATATCAAACATTCTTAACTGGCAACTACTGGCTTTCATTATAAAAATCCACATCTGGCAGTGATTTTTAGGTAGCTATAAAACTGAAAATGGGTATTATAATAATGTTTTTGGATATTAGAATATTGTTTACTGATTCGTAAATTCTTGAAAATGGCGGCAAATGTGCTCGTGTGGCGGGGCAATGAGCGCATTTCTAGCCAATAGCAAGCGGTGGATGAAAGATTTTTTATATTTGTGTAAATAGTAATCGTTTCTGTGACTACAAAGTAAATGTC